TAGTAAATCAAAGATATTGCACATTGTATCTAATGTAAACTATTTTGGGCCATATTCACCACTGCCTTGCAGCTTGCAAGGTAGAATCCACATTTATATCTGTGCTGAGTGGGTGTAAAAGGCTACCAAATCAGAATGACAGTGCTTAACCACCCACTTGGCACAGGTGTAAATGACTAGACAAGGTGCAAGGCAGTGGGCAGGCCTTGTACATGTTAAAAAAAGCCAAGATGAAAAACAATATTGGCCATGAAGGAAAAGGGTTAGCTATTCAAGAGTCTGATCCGATTCTCATTGAATGCAATGGACTTCCCCAGTGACTCCACTGGGAATTGGATCAGGTGCTAAATAATCCAGATTAAAAAAAAAGACGATGACCATCTGGCACACATATTAATTGTGCAGTGACAAAAAGAAGTATGAAGTCTGATAAAGCAGAATGTAAAGGGCAAATAAAGGATCGGCTATAAAATTAAACATTAGTAATGCCAAAAAGTCTTGACATATTTGTGCTTATTGATTTTCACAGTATACGAAAAAAGAAAACATTTTACAGACACATAAACAAATGCTTAAACATCCTTCTTGTTCTCCAGCTACATCCTCACATCTTGCCCTGATTTGCGGATGACCTGTGAAGCAAGAGAGAAGAGTAGCGCACTTGTGGTGAACTCAGACTGCATCTGACCTAGCAAAGGTTTTGATAGGTCTGACTAAAGGTTTTTTAGAAGTCTTCTGCTGTGGCTATGAAGGAGGCAAAGAAAAGTTTCTTTATCTACACCATAGCATCTGCAAAACCTCACTCAGGAGATTGCTTCTGGGGGGGCAGAGGGCCTGGTTAATCTGTGCTGTCTCAGCTTGGTGGCTGACACAAGCATCCCCTTTAATGAGGAAATCTTGTTTCTTTCCAAATAGAATTGTGTGGATCCAGACCAAACTTTATGTGTCTGGAGAGGAAAGGGGAAAGTGTGCAGAGTAACAGATTGAGAGGACAAATACTAAATCCTCTATGCCTGAGTTTTGGCTGGTTTCTCAATCTGAGGTGCTAAAGTGGTGGAAGCACCTCATGCCAGCTCCTGTGCTTTGGACCCAAGCCCAATCCTATCTTGGCTCTTGAAGACCAATTGAGAAGAACTGAGTCCATTGTTGGTGAAGATTGTCAACATTTCTTTTGGGGAGGACAGAGTGGTGGTGATGTCCCTCCAGGAAGCTTTTGTATTTGACATTGACCATGCGGTCCATTATTACCCAACATGTGATCTGTTTTAACATGCATAATGTTAAGCATTTGCAGAATCAGGCTCTAAAAAGACCAAAAACAGATGAGGGGAGGGAAATGGAACGTAACATATAAGCAAAGGACCCAATCCTGTTAACACTTACACACTTTAATGGGAGCTAACGTGAACTTTTCACAACTTCAATGGGACTACTCATGAGAGTAAAGTTAAGCATGTGTGCAGGGCCTTACACTGTAAATTCTTTGGTGCAAATTCTTTGATTTTTTCATATACGTTTTAAAAGCACCTAATGAAACAGGTACCTGAATAGGGCTTTTTGGTACTAATACATTATCAATGATAAATAATTAATACCCCATATTTCTTTTTTAAATATGTATTTAACACATAGGGAAACTGAGATACAGAGATAGAACCAAAACCTGTTGATGCCCTGTCCTGTGCTTTAACTACAGGATCATGTATGCACCTGATTCTGCTCCACTAAAGTAGGGTTGCCACGTGTCCGGTTTTCGACTGGAATGCCCGGTCGAAAAGGGACCCTGGTGGCTCCAGTCAGCACCGCCGACCGGGCTGTTAAAAGTCTGGTCAGCGGTGCTGCAGGGCTAAGGCAGGCTAGTCCCTACCTGTCCTGGCACCGCGCTGTGCCCCAGAAGCAACCAGCAGGTCTGGTTCCTGGGGGGGGGGGGGGGGGGCCGGCGGAGCCGCCTCCCCCCCGCCCGCCCCCCCCCCCCGCCCCAAAGCCCCCTCCTCCACTCCAAACCCATCTCCAGCCCCAGCCCAGAGCTCATACCCCCTCCTGCACCCCAACCCCCTGCCTCAACCTGCAGCCTCATCCCACACTCCGAATCCCTTGGCCCCACCCCCCAGCCTGGAGCCCCCTCCTGCACCCCAAACCCCTCACCCCCAGCCCCACCCCAGAGCCCGCACCCGCAGCAGGAGCCCTCACCCCCTCCCACACCCCAACTCCCTGCCCCAGCCCAGAGCCCCCTCCCGCACTCTGAACCCCTCATTTCTGGCACCAGCCTGGATCCCACACCCACAGTTAGAGCCCTCACCCCCTCCCACACCACACCCCCTGCCCCAGCCCAGTGAAGGTCAGGAAGAGCGAGTCACCGAGGGAGGGGGAATGTAGTGAGCGGGGAGCAGAGCCTCAGGGAAGGGGTGGGGCAGGGTCTCGGGGAAGGGGCAGGGCTAGGGTGTTTGGTTTTGTGTGATTAGAAGTTGGCAACCCTACACTAAAGTCAGTAAGAGTTTTGCCGCTGGCTTCACTGGAAGCAGCATCAGGCCCTACCTGAAGACTAGCCAGCAGGCAGAGAAGACTCCTGAGAAATAACAATTCTGTTTTCATGCAAGTGTCCCTACCATTGGGGAAAAAAATTAGGAAGAGATTCAAAATATGACATATAAAACAGAATGGCTCCTAAACAGAATGTTTTTCAAAGTTTTCCCTAAAGTATCATCTGCTCTTTAATCTCCTTATTACTACATTGTCTAAAGTTTAGAATACATGTAGCTCAGAGACTTCTTGCAGATTATTCCAATTCAAATCCAACTGTTTCCCAACGTGTCAAAACAAAGTTAAGTAACAAAACTAGAGTTAAATAACAAACAGTGGGACAGAAATATTAAAAGATTAAGACAAGAAAAGATACATAATTGGGTGAGATTAAAGTAAAATGGACAGTTGATGAGACAAAGCCTGTTCCAGATGATAATAGCTGCAAAGAAAGTGGGTCTCATGTCAACAGTGATGAGACTCTTTCAAAAAAGACAGAGAGGAAGACTGTGCTAAAACTGTGGAAATAGGGAAGAAGATAGACAAGGTCCATGTGCCGCTATAGCATCATAGCGTAGACACTTCCTACATCGATGGAAGGGGTTTGTCCATTGATGTAGTTGATCCACCCCTCCATGAGGTGGTAACTAGGTTGACCCAAGAATTCTCCCACTGACCTAGCCTGGTCTACACCAGGAGTTAGGTCAACCTAACTATGGCACACAGGGCCGTCCCTAGCCATACGCAAACTATGCAGCTGCGTAGGGTACCAGGAAATTTGGGGCACCCTACGCAGCTGTGTGCTGCATCCAGCTCCAGTGGCCAGCCCAATCCCCCGGACAGCTGAACCGGCCCCTCGCGAGCTAGGCACAGCAGGGTCCATGAAAGTTGTCTCCGTCCCAGCCCTGCCCCTTCTCCCCCAACCCCCCCAGGGGACTGCAGCAGGGTCAGGGTCGGCCCCGCCCTGCGCTCACCGGGTGATGGGAAGTGGAGCGACCCAGCCCCAGCCACACTGCCAATGAGTACTGGGGGGCTGTTCCCCCCTTCCCCCAAGCCTGGAAGCCGGGGGAGCAGAGCGGAGCAGGCTAGGGCTGGGTCGCTCCACTTCCCGCTGCCCTGTTAGTGTGCGGGTGGGCCCAACCTCTGCTGCCTTCCTGCACTGGCTGTCCTGCCTCTCAAAGCCCTTGGGCGCAGCCCCCCCGCCGCGGGGGCCGGGGAGCCCCCCCCCCCCCGCAGAGGCCTGGAACACCCCCTCCCTTTGGAGACTCCGGGCCAGCCCCCCTACAGGGGGCTGTGTAGGGCACCACAATCTCTAGGGATGGCCCTGATGGCACACAGGGCACAAGATCTTTTACAGCCTGAGCAATGTAACTAGGTCCATCTAATTTTTGAGTGTAGCCCAGGTTTGAGAAAGGCAGGAGCAACTTGTTAGATGATTTTAAGCATAAGGAAGGAATTTTTGAACTAGATCCTGAAATAAATAGGAAGCTGTGGACTGGAGTTCAGCAGACACATATAGATGTTTTGTCGAACAAAGCAGAGATGGATCAAACCCAGAACATCAAATTCAAACCCTTCCAACTCCAGGGTATTGGCAGGGCCGGCTCCAGGCACCAGCGCAGCAAGCTAGTGCTTGGGGCGGCCCTTGGAAGGGGGCGGCACGTCCGGGTCTTCGGTGGCAATTCGGCAGCGGGTCCCTCGGTCCCTCTCGGAGAGAAGAATGAAGCGGTGCTGTAGAGCAGCCGCCGAAGTGCCGCCGATCGCGGCTTTTTTTTTCTTTCTTTCTCTCTCTCTCTCTCTCCGCCGCTTGGGGCAGCAAAAAAGCTGGAGCCAGCCCTGGATATTGGGATGTGTTTCCAGGGCAGATCTAGGGTTGTCAGCCCTTCAGAATTGTCCTGGAGTCTCCAGGAATTAAAGATTCATTTTTAATTAAAGATTGTCATATAATGAAACCTCCAGGAATACAACCAAAAATGCCAACCCCAGCCAGATCCAAAGCCATCAGCGCCCTGTCTTCTGGTTCGGGTGTGACCAAAACCTCAGGTGAACAGCAGGGGAGAATTCAGCGCGACCACTCACACCCTAGCCCCAGCCTGAGCCTGCTCTGGAGGGACCCCAAACACCGCCTGGGCCACTAATGGGAGGCGCAAAGGTTTAAACGTTTCCCATCCACAGCAGCTGCAGAGACCGCCCCTCTCAGAGGCTCCCCGGGGACACTGGGTCCCCCCCCCCCGCGGACCAGCGGGAGCGCGATCTGCCGCCGAGGCAGCTTCCAGGGGACGGGGAGCGCAAGCAGCCGCACAGCTCCCGCGGCTGGGGGCCCTGCTCCAGCCGCGCGCCTCCTCGCCCCGCCCCGCTAGGGCCTCCCCAGCCCGGCGCCCGCCTCAGCCCGCGCGCCTCCCTCCCCGCCCCAGAGGCGGGGCCGCCCCTTCCAGCCCCCGCCAGCCCATCGCCTCGGCCCGGCCTCCCGCTGCCGCCATTCTCCGCAGCCTGACGGAGCGTCGGGCCCCGCGGCGCCGGCCCATCCATCGGCCCGGGCTCGTGGCGTCTCGGCTGCCGGCTCCACGTTCCGACGCGCCCCTTCAAACGGCGGCGGGGCCGATGCAGCCCGCGGGCTCCCCGCTGCGGCTCCTCTTCCTCCTCTCGCTGGCCAGGGCGGCCAGGGCGAGCGGGGCGGCGGCGGGAGCAGGTAACGCCTGGGGCGGCCGCCCCGTGGCCGGCGGGAGGGGGGGGGGGGGTTCAGACATCCCCGCGGAGCCGCATCCGCGCGGGGCTCGGCGCTGGGCCGACGGGGGTTCTGCAAAGCCCCAGGTTCTCGTCTGTCGCCGCGAACCCGGAGCAGCCCCGCGGAGCTGGCCGTTTGGCCGCTTCATGTTATTTCCTGATCAGGAGAGCGCGGGTATCGGGCATACGCGGGGTTTGAGCTCTGAGATTCCGCAACGGTGGCTGGGACGTACCCAGAACAAACGCTGTGAGAGAAACTTAGTTTCTCTATAAAAATCCACGTGAAGCAGGATTTTGGTGACACCCCTCCCCCAATCCACAAAGGTTTTATGAAACGAAACACAACACACGCTCGGTGATTCGCTTTGTCAGTATAGTCATTCTTCAAAGGTAAAGACACACATTGTCGAAAAGGAAAGATGGGCAGTTCTGTAAGTAAAATGTAATAATGGAGTCTCCTCTCCACTCTTAGCTCTTTGAGCATCATACTTTTTATCTGCCCCAGATGCACCCTAGCCAACTTATTTCCATTTTCACCATTGAACCAATTACACAGTTTTGACCAAACCAGTGCAACTGTAAAAATCAACAGAGTCCTGTGGCACCTTAAAGACTAACAGATGTATTGGAGCATCTGTTAGTCTTTAAGGTGCCACAGGACTCTTTGTTGCTTTTTACAGATCCAGACTAACACGGCTACCCCTCTGATACTTGTAAAAAGACTGACTCAACTATCCTTCTGCTAGCTTTATAAAAGATCCAACTCTAATGTTTGCTGTTTTTCTTCTATTGGCCAGGTAGGAGATAGCCTTTCTATAATTATTCCAATCAAGGTAACTCTGCCAGAGGTAGTGTCTGGGGCTATGTCTACACTGCCAAGTTTTTTCACCAAAAGTTATGCCACTTTTGTTAAAGCGCTTTACTTAAACTGCTGTTGCATGTCCACACTCTGCTCTTTGTGTCGCTGGAGCACATCCACACTAGCAGCTCTTGCAACAATGAGAGCAGTGCACTATAGGTAGCTATCCCACTGTACAACTGGCCGCAGGGTGCTTATGGAAGGGTTTGCAATGCCTCATGGGATAGGTACAGCATCACATGATGCAGGTTTCTCAGTCCCATTGTTTCATGGACATCCTAATAGTTTTCGAGCCATTATGTATGACAGGGTGGGGTCGGGGGGGGGGGGGAGAGACAGACAGAGTGTGGTGAGGGAGAGTGAGTGTGTTGGCATGCAGGCTTGTAAATTCGGAAAGCCATGGGAAGCAACCAGTCCTGAGGCAGGGGGAGGGGGAAACCCCGACATCAGCCCCTCCCTCCCTGGCTCTGCACAGCACAGAGTCTGTCTCTCTCTCACACACACACACACATACTCCTGCCTGCCTCTTGTGTTCAATGTGGGAGACAGCAGGAGCATTCCTCATTAATGATAGGGTTGCCAACTGTCTAATCGCACAAACCCAAACACCGTTGCCCTGCCCCTTTCCTTGCACCTTCTCCAAGGCCACGCCCCTTCTCCAAGGCCACGCCCCTGCCCCACACCTCTGAGTCCCCAGCCCCACTCACTCCAGCTCCTCTCCCTCTGTCTCTCGCTCTCCTGCACCCTCACTTTCACTAGGCTGGGACAGAGGGTGGGGGTGCAGGCTCTAGGCTGGGGGTGGTGGGGGCCAAAGGGTTTGGAGTGTGGGAGGGGGGCTCCGGGCTGAGCCTAGGGCAAGGGTTTGGGGTGTGGAGGGGGTGAGGGGTGCAGGCTTCAGAAGGGAGGTTGGGTGTGGGAGGGGGCTGGGGCAGGGGGTTGGGGTGTGGGAGGGCGTTTGCAGGCTCTGGCTGGGCGGCACTTATCTTGGGTAGCTCCCTCAAGCAGCAGCATGTCCGACAGCAGCTCCTAGGTTCAGGGGCAGCCAGGCGGCTCTGCGGGCACTGCCCTTGCAGCTTCCATTGGCCGCGATTCCCGTTCCCGGCCAATGGGAGCTGCGGAGTCGGAGCTTGGGGCGGAGGCAGCGCGTGGAGGCCCCCTAACTGCGCCTCTGCAAGACATGCCAGGAGTGGCACGGAGCCAGGGCAGGCAGGGAGCCTGCCTTAGCCCTGCTGCGCTGCCGGACTTTTAGCGGCCTAAAATCTCCCAGATTGACTGCAGTAGCCTCTGGGAAATCGAGCCTGATTCTGGGAGACTCCCGGCCAAACCAGGAGGGTTGGCAACCCCAGTTAACGATTTGCTCTTTGTTTCCCCAGAGCAGAGCAGCACAGCACACTGGCTGTCAGAATGGAGTTTTGAAAGTAGTGGGGCGCCCGCCTGCAGGGCTACTGAGTTCAAAACAATGAGCAGAGCGGTCACTTCAGGCATTGTGGGACACCTCTAGAGGCCAATTACAGCGATAAAAGCAAGCAAGGTGTTTATACTGGCACTTTGGCGATAAAATCTTTGTGCAGAAAACCTTATCACTATCATTGAGGTGGTTTTATTAAAGCGCTGCAACTGAGGAGTTTTGTCGCAAAAAGTGGCTTTGCACTGTGTACACGTCTGCTGTTTCATCGCCAAAAGCTGTCTTTTGGCAAAAAAACTTGGCAGTGTAGATCAGCTCTGGGATAACCGGTTCCATCCTTTTAGAAGATCCAGACTACATCCCAAATCAGGCATTTTTTCAGAGAGAAGGTAGGCTTCTAGAGTTTCAAAGGTAGTGGAAGCAGATTGCCTCCAGTCAGTATTGGCCGAGAGGAATATCCTAGAGTTAAATTTCCACTTCTACCCAAACTTAGCATTGCCCTGTAGAAAGATCCAGAGGCCTGAAGCCTACAAATCTCTTAGAATCAATATTTTTCAATTATGTTTATTTCTGAATTAGAACAATAGATATCATCCCATTCACAGCCTGAAATGGTTACATCTATTTGTCTTACCCCCCCAGCCCCAGCCAAGAAGTTCAATATACAGCCTACCTACTCAACCATCTCTGCTGTGACTCTTGAGGAATTCCTAGTCCCACAGAACTTCAAGAGATAATAGTAGTGTGGTATAAGCTACACATGGGGAAAATATTTAAGAATGGGCTCTTCAGTCTAACAGAGAAAGGTATAACACGAGCCAATGACTGGTAGGTGAAGTTAGAGAAATTCAAATGGAAAATAAGGCGTACATTTTTGACAATGAAAATACTTAACCATTGGAACAATTTCCCAAGGGTTGTGGTGGATTCTCCCTCACTGACAATTTTCAAATCAAGATTGGGTGTTTTACCATAAGATCTGCTCTAGGAATTATTTTGGGGAAGTTCTCTGGCTTGTGTTGTACAGGAGGTCAGATTAGATGATCACAGTGGTGCCTTCTGGCCTCGGAATCTATGAATCTATTTGATTCTGCCTAGGTGAGCTGCATGGTAGACTGCCACTGTTCATACAACAGCTCCCATAAAATGTGTGCTGATAGTGGCAGCATTTAAAGAATCAGGAAAATGCAGTACTTCCATACTTGACTCATTGCTAGCTCCTCCTTTCTGAACACTCAGTTTGCTATACACAAGACACTGGAACTTTTTGGAACCTGTAGTGAATGAATCAAAGAGCCTACTGTTCCTGAGACAGGATTTCAAGGGAAACTGTCTACTTGAAATCTAGCCAATTAAATAAAAAGAGTTAAAACAGTTGCAGATACCACACTTGTCCCAGTATTCCATGTCTATTTTTGTGATTTTACAATCACACTTTCCTATATTTGACAATATTTTCTCTCCCTTGTTGCTGTGTGAGAAGCCCACTTAAACACAAAGGGGCAGCTGACTATTAACTGATTGAACAGGGAAAACCATGAAAATTCCTATAAATAAAGTGCTGTCAAATGCACAAAGTAAACACCCTGGAAAAAATAAAGAAAAATATTTGCCCCTCATCTTTTTTCAGTTGCAATAAACCAAGGTCTTTCTTGTAATAGTAGATAAAACCAGTTCACACAGAAGTGTGATTTTTAAGGTGATGGTGTCCCTTCCGTTCTCCCTGTAGTCTGGTTCATGATAGCTGAGGCAGAGTGTAGCTTTCATCAGAGAGGACAATGAAAGTCAGAGGGACTATTGAGATTCCAGTTGCAGCACTGATGCATAGTTCAAGAGGCATTTTACCTGCTTGTTTCCTTATTTCTTGCACTGAAGGTCTCTGCCCTTGGTTTTGTTTTAGGATTCTACAGTTGATCCTGATTCCACAGCTCGTAATCTCTCACATTTAGACAGTTGCCTTCCCTTCCTTACCTCAGGTTAAGTCTTGTTTCTCCTGATGGTGAAGTCACTTGTTCAAAGGGATCTTCCTCTTGGAACTCAGTTGGTTTATAGTTACCCCAGATGTCACTCTCATGGAGTTGAGGGCATCCTTGAAGTGGAGGATGGCTTGGGTCAGGTGGTTTTCTTCAGAGAGAACATGCATATTGATATGTTAATGCTTAGGGTGGTGCTGATAAGAAAACATCTACTAGCTCTCTGGGAATAACTAGCAGGGAAACCAGTTCTAATCTGAATAGACAGTTTATTGTAATCACTTAACAAATAGGGCAGCACCCTCAGCTCTTGCTTCTGGAAGGAATCCAAATTACTTTTGCCTGGGCAGGCAGAAATCTCCCTGCCCTAAGAACCTGTTACCTAGCAGGGAAGATAAATTACCTGCAGACAGTCTAAGCTGAGGTGCAGTCCTACTAAGAGAATGGAGTTCCCTTACTACTAGGTTCACCTAACTTTTAGCCAGTGATGGTGCCCATCCATGAACCTGTTTTTGACACCAGCAAGTAACAAATTCCCCAGATAATATAGCAAGTACCAGGATCCTCTATCGAGCCAGATGGATGCCTTTGTGATTCCCTTTTCCAATGTCATTCTTTATTCGTCCATCCCCCCTAGTTCTTCATAAAATAGTTCAAATGTTCTGGCCAGACTAAAGAGCCATATTCACTCTTTCATGACCCAGAAGGGTTTGGTTTACAGGTTTGTA